AGAAGCTATTTCTGAATGACAGGGGGAAAGGGTCATCTCCATGAAATGCATGTCTTCTGGTGCACAGAATTTGAGTGACGGCTGACTTCTCAACAATTAAACACAGCATGAAACAGTACCTTCAAGAGAAAAGGGATTCCAAATGGAATTCTTCCCACAAATACATTTATGACAAAGATATAGAAAAGATAGTTCCGTTATGGAATAAAAAGCCTACTTCCCACAAATCTTTTCCCCTCAAAGCCAGAAAAACTAAAAAAAAAAAATCTTGGGATCTAGGAGGCCCAGACTCTAGCTTCTATTGGTGGTATAAAGAAAGGAAGCAAATGCAGTTTCTGGCCAAGGGCCAAGGCGGGAAGAAAGCTGTGTAGTTTCTGTGAGAACTCATTTCAGGCAGGAGGAGGTAGAGGACCGAGGGCTCCTTGGGGTACTAGGCTGAATAATGGACCATTGAATGTGTGGATGCAGCTAGAAGAGCTGAGAGGTGAGAGGCTGTCTGGAGCAGAGGCTGAGTCTGAGGCCTGATGGAAGAGGCCTCTCTTCCAGGCCTCCCTCCGATGAAATCAGGTGTGTTGTTAAAAACCAACCCTAAGGGGAGGGCAGAGCAAGAAAATATATTCCTTGCAGAGGAAAAGTTACCCCTGAGGATGACAGGACATAAAGATGAGAGGTCACGACCCCAAAGGGAAAAGGACGATGAGTGAAATAAATCAAACCATTAAGCATAAAGTAAGAGCACCTGAATAAGACACCCAGGAGCTCAGCAGCTACTTTCTTCAAAGACTATCATGGAAGTCCTTCCTTACATCTCACCACAATGCATGAACAATTCAAGGAAACTCCTTGCTGTCTACTGTTATAATATTGTTTAGTTCCAAACAACAAATAGGGACTCTTTGCGGTAGAAATAAATTGCAAAATGAGACTACAACAAGTAGACATCTCTGTTCACTAACTAGTATGGTATTTCATTAATAAAAAATATGTGCAGAATATATAAGTAGGAACAAAATGATGTAACAAGACTTTAACATATCTACTTTTGATAGCTCTAGCTTAAATACACTAAGCCAGAACATGGGAAGGGGAGTGACATGATTAAGACTAAAAACTACAAACTAAGCTAAACCAGAATAAATATGCCTAATAGTACTTCTAATTTGACAATTAGGCAATATAAAACCCAATAAATTTTCCCCAAAGCAAAACAATTTTTCCCATTCTCTTATTAAAATGCATACATCACCAAGACACATGCAAAAACAGTTATAACTGTACTTAAGTTTATCACTGGATCAAAGAACTCAAACCTGAATCTCTGAACATCTTAATTTAGTGCAATGAAAATATAATCTTTGGGAACTGGAGGCATGGGTCAAGTGGCAGAGCTCCAGTCAAGCAAGCAAGAGGTCCTGACTTCAAACCGAGTACACTTCCCTTCAGAAGATGGACTTTTGTATGTTCAGAAGTAAATTTATACCCAGTCAACAAGAAAGAATGGAACAAGTTCATAAAACACACAAGTCATAAAGTCACATTTTAAAAAATGATCAAAAAATGGGAGAAATAGCCAGCCAAATGATGAAATGAATGAATTGGAACATGTGTGTGTATTCACACAGAGCATCTAGGGCCATGAGTTCAAGAACCAGTACCAGCACACACACAAACACAAGCATCTATCTGGAGGAATTTCTGTCTCTATTCTTGAGCTGACAAGATGATGACAGGAAAACTAGAATTAGAGGCTGAGTCATGCTGTTGAGTGAAGAGCACCAACAATGCTTTGAGATACATCTGACACCTGACTAGTGGGGGAGCAGATGCCCCTCTTCTTTATGTCATCCCAGGTGAGGTCTATTCACAGAGCACATACCACCCTTCATGCTGTGATACTACCTGACTCCATAAGGAATGTAACTATTAGTTCCCAGAGAAATGGTCTCTGTGTATTTTCTAATCTGGAGGTCAATCAAGTCTACCTGAGATTGTTCTACTCATTTAACAAAAACAACTTCCTACGAATACTCAAAGACTCAAAAGCCTGAGTCTTAGTGCTGCCATGTTTAAATATTTCTATGTTAACAAATACACCTACTTCATTTTATTCAGTATGTAAATTCATTCAAATAAAATGTAAATTAGGCGATAATTGGGTGCCAAAAGTCCTATTTTCATACCGATAAGGACTGATGCAATTTCTTTCAAATAATAGTTTATGCAGATTCTACATGAATTCCAAACAGCCTGGAATATTATTGTTAACCCCTTGACTATCTTAATGAAAATGAAAATAAACTTGTGTGGAATTCATCTTCAAGGGCCCTGCAGGGTTCCACCTGATCTATTAAAGGGATAGATTATTGTCAGATATCTTCAGAGGTATCTGGATGTCACTGTCTTGTCAGCAGTACAAAGTGAGACCTTACGTTAAAAGACTGTTTACTTCCTATTAAAACTCCAGTCTTTCCATCTGAGCACTGAAAATCCTGACATAAAATGGAGAGACAGCTCTCACTACATGCAAGCACTTCAGAGCCTGGGAACGTTTTACCGAGAAGCTGGAAAATAGCCCTTCCCCCAGAGCAAGTCTGCGACTAGCATCCTGCTTTCCCACATGCTTTGCAAGCAAAAACCAAGTGCAATGTTTTATATAGCCTTATTGAAGCTGGAGGGGCTGAAACCGGAGGGAATTTCTGGTTTCTTCTTCTTCCTCCTCCTCTTTTACCTTTTCTTCTTCCTCTCCTTCCACTTCTTTTAAATATACAAATATTTCCTAGTAATCTTCTGGACAGGAGACTTGCAGAGGCCCCTTGGAATACTGCTTCTTTCTAAAGGTATGCATCAGTGACCAGAGGAAAAAAGTACTGTTTGGGGGACTGCGCAGGAAACTCAAACTAGAAGTCATTCTAATAAATCTAGGCTTGGATCTAGGATTTAGGAGAATATGGTGATTCTCATCTTTTTCTTTCGCACTCTTTGACATATAAGGAAACCTATAATGATGTGTGTGTGTGTGTGTGTGTGTGTGTGTGTGTGTGTGTGTGCGTGCGTGCACATGCCTGCATGTGCATATCTCAATCGACCTTAGCAAAGAAATTACTGAAGGACAGATGGTGTGGTGGCTCATGTCTAAAACTCTAGTTACTCAGGAGACAGAGTGTGGGAGGGTCAGCCAGGACAAAAGACCTCATCTCAACCCAAATCTGGGTTTGGAGACATGTCTGTCATTCTAGCTATGGAGAAGTTGGTAAAAGGCAATGAGTAGTAATGAAAGGAGGCGCAGAGATGCCCAATGCTTACTAGAGCTGCCTTACATTACCTGTGGTCCCCACTCTCCAAGGACTATGTACGGCCAGTATGACCTCTGCCAGGAAACTTGGCCCCTGACTTTATTTTTACACTAATAAAAGCTGTTTGCATATCCTTTCACAGGTGAGCTTGACTTTATCATTTACTTTATGTTAGAAATTCCTGATTTTCAGTTCTACACAGACTTGCCAGCTCAAACACCATCTAACTTTGAAAATGTTATCATTTCTACTTCAAAGAAGCCAATTGCAGGGAATTACTACTCTTCATTTTTCATATCCGAGATCCTGGAATCATTAAGCTTTGGAACACTTTGCTGTTGCCTTTAGAGAACCCTTCTGCACAACAAAGTCTAAAGCTGAATAATACCATGACCAAGTATCTGGCTTTTCCATGCATCTGGAAGGGCTGGGAGCAGGACAATGATTCCTGTCTCCTCACTCCCTAAGACTGTCCCATGGACCTCACAGTCAAAATCCAGGAGCCCACAAACCTGTCTGTGTAGCCAAGTAAGGTATGTCTGCATGTCTTTAATATTTATTTTTGTGGAGTTTGAGCTCAGTACCTTGTATTTGCCTTGGCAGGCACTCTACCTTTTGAGTCAGTCACTCTCCCAGTCTTTATGGCTTTCATTATTTTTCCAATGGGTCTTATGTCTTGTCCAAAGCAGCCTGATGATATTTATGACAGAGGTGTGTTACAATGCCCAGCTTTTCATCAATTGACATGAGGTTGCCCAAAGTATATTTCCCCTGGTCTCCTCTCCCATTCTCAGCCTCCCAAGGAGCTAGAATTACAGGTGTGAACCACTGCACCTGCCCTTTAAGTTAATATTTATGGATACTACACTAAACTTTTTACAGTGTTAATGTATCTGAGCACATACTATTTTGGGTTTTTGCCATTATGTCTCACAGTAGCATTTGCTTTTATCCCTACAGAAATGTTTTAAACTCTGATTTCCAGGAAGTGCAACCACTTGGTAGGGAGAGGACGTCCAGTCTGCTTTCATTTAAAAGAAAGTGTTTTCTTGCTTCACATGTTCAAGGACTCTCTCCTTTCTCTTCACACTTATCTATGATGTTTGTTTTGTATAATTGTGTATTCTGGTGAATTTAATACTGATTCTTTCCAATTTTTATTTCTATCTTCTGTTACTAGCCATTAACTGCAAATAATTCATCTGTGCATCATTTTCCCAGTTGACAGAGACAAAAACAGTACATTCTCATTTGTACTAATTTTCCTCTATAAGCACCATCTACTCCACATTATTCTCAAACATTCAAAGCAAAAATTAGAAACTTTACAATTACTTTCAATTCTTTCACGAGTTTTATTTCTTCTCCAAATGAATACGAAAGGGAGAAAACAAAGTGAGAGGCTGGGTGAAAGGCAGAAGAGGAAGAAAAGAGTTTCTAGAATGTTCAACAAGAAAGCAAGACTTACAGGAGAGCATCTGTTTGTTAGGAGCCCATGAAAGATTCAACAATATGTTAAAGCTCTGGAAAATCACCCCGAAATCCAAGAAATCACTACAAGGTCAGTGTTAGGAAGGGAGCAGGGACTTAAACAGAGCAGCAGTGACAGGTAAGGGAGTATGATGAAGCAGCAGTCCAAGAGACTCATTTATGATGCCACATGCTTTCATTTATCCTGGAAATAGTTTAAGTAAGGAAAGTTTTTACCTGTGATGTCCTGCATAACGTGGACCTCGGATATGGCCTATTCCTCGGCACCCAGGAGTAGGACAAACAGCTTGACCTGGAAGGACTTTCACATCATTTGCCCCTTCAGGAAGTAAAAGAACATACCTTGAAAACATCCTCATTAATGAAGAACTTGGAGAGACTAAAATATGCAAATGATGTTGAGATTTTACAAATTCAAAGCAAACTGTCACCTCAAAAACACTTCCTGATTACTTGTGATGTGTTTAGAAAATTACTTAGCAGAAAGGATCAGTGCTATAATAAATAATACAGCACACCTAGTACCAGAGGAAGAAGAAAAGGAAGAGACATTCAATTTTTTTAAGTATGAGAACTCATTTATCTCTCTGGGAGATTAATAATGGCTGAAGCGACATATGATGAGAGGAGACCCTGGGTACCTAAAACCTCCTCAACCAGGTCAGCCACTGTATTCTTAACATAGCACACAAGGCTCTAACCATGATGGCTCACGTGGCTGCCAAGCTAAGCACAGGAAGACCTGACATTAATTTCACCATCACTCTTGTACTAAGCTCTAACCACTTCCGGCCAGAGTCCAAATATGACCATTCCAAGAGGCAGTCTACCCTAAATCTGATCAGAATTAAATCCCCAGCATCCATTCTGATTTTCCTTACTCTTTCCCCACCCTCAGCCACACACACACACACACACACACACACACACACACACACACACACACACTATTTTAAATACCAGTGTAGAGCCAGGCACTGCTGGTAATTCTGTAATTCTAGCTACTTAGAAGGCTGAGGATTGTGACATGAAGTCAGCCTGGGCAGGAAAAATCATTGAAATTTTTATGTCCAATTAACCACCAAATATAAAATCTGGAAGTAGAGCAGTAACTTAAGTAAGAGAGCACCCATCTTGACTTAAAAAGCTAAGAGAGAGGGCCCAGGCCCTGGGTCCAAGCCCAGTACTGACACAGAACACCAACTTGAGGAATATTCCATCCTCAACCCTCATGCTGTTCTAGGTCTTAATTTCCTGATAATTTAGCACTCTCTTTATCCCTCTCCAGCAGTCAGACTTCTATATCCTGCTCAACAAACTCTGTTTCTCCATCCTCATCTGTTTTTCCTCCTTCCAACTCTACTTTCTGCCAGCTCTGGGCTGAAGGCATGCTCCCTGTAGCCTTCTTCAGGAGAAACTTTATTTTCTTCAGGCCACTGCACTCCAGTCTTCCGAGGCTGTGACTCAGGCTCTACCATGTTCCCTCTTGCCCAGCTGTTCTGTCACCCAAATAACCCAGGGAAGACTCTGGCACCCAGGCCACCACATTCTACTCTGTTCATCTCTAGGAGTCAACCTAGGCTGGCTCCACACCCACATAGGTTATCATCCAAATGCCATACTAGCAAGTCACTGATCTCATGTCCTCTTCCTGAAACCCATTGGTTATGGAACCAACCCAGATGCCCCTCAGTAGATGAATGGATCAAGAACATGTGGTATATATACACAATGGAATTCTATGCCTCCACCAGAAAGAATGGCATTGCCCCATTTGTTAGGAAATGGAAAGACTTGGAAAAATTATATTAAGTGAAGTAAGCCAGGCCCAAAGAAACATAGGTCCCATGGTTTCCCTTATTTGCAATAACTAGTATACGTCTGAGACAAGCAGAA